AGGTTAGGGTGGATTGGCCGTGCTAAATTACCCATAGTGCCCAGGGATGTACAGGTTAGGGTGGGTTAGCCATGGGGAATGCAGAGTTACAGGAATAGGGTGGGCCTGAGTGGGATGCTCTTTGGGGGGTGGGCGGTCTGTGTGGACTTGATGGGCCAAACACCATCTGTAGTTCCAACATTAACATTTGTCAGAGATTAATGTAATTGGTGCACCAATATCACGGATCAACACATTTCCCTTCGGTTCTCACTCAGTTTTAGCTCCTCGGCTCCTTTATGCTCAGTAAGATTGGTGTGTTCGCCCCTGACCCCGTGCGTATCTGGTTCGCCAGGGAGTCTGCACGGTCGGAGTGGTCCTCGCATCTCAACTGGGTCTTCGGGTACACCGCTTCCCCATGGATTGTCCAGCCCCCGCTTCCCCTCCCAACCTACTCAAACCATCACCCACAGCAGGCTCCCTGTACCCCGCAAGGCCCGTACTGGGTAACTCACTCACAGTGTCTGCTCTCATTTCACTTGGGGCTCAGGGTCTGGAACTCAACGCTGTTGACAGTCTCAGAGGCAGGAGCCACTGAGCAGTGAGACACAGTGAGCAAAGTGACCCGTGACCCTCTCAGAGATTTCCTGCCAGCCGCATGTACTTAAACTGAGTTAATCATAACCGGGATTTACAAGAATCGGCAGCTTCAGATTGGCTGCCCTGCCTCACACGACAGAAATGATAAGAGAGGAACGTGACTTGGGGCATGATAATCTATTGAAAATCTTATTTGCCTCAGGAGCCTATGACCATTTACTCTCGCTACGTCGCCCATCAAATCGGCCCCAGTAACGACAATTCTGCAAGAAAGGACAACGGAAGGAACGGAGAATGTTGCCAGAGGTGTTTGTTGTTCAGTCACTGCTCAACCTCGTCTCTGTTGGGGTAAGTACCAACTTTTCATGACCACTTTCTTGTAGTTAAGACACGGTCCCCACATCAGTTCATTTGTGACTGTCCTGTGCTATTTGGATGGCCGCCCACCTGACTGAGGGCTGGACACAGCAACTCATTGGTCCCTCTTTTGCTGCAGCAAGGTCTCACGTTTTCGTTAACTCTGCAAGATTGCCACTCGGTGTCCTCTTACCCAGTGGCATCACCATTTATCCACACACGGAGGGAGGGATTAGGGGCCAGAGATACGGAGCAGTGGAGAGACAGAATGAAGAAGGGATGGAGCAATGAAACAAAAGCCAGGCTGGGGGGTTTGGAGGGGACAGGTCTGGGGAGAGCCGGCGATGAAGAGATGGAGACGAGAGGGATGGAGAGATGTAGAACAGAGAGGTGGAGAATAGAACGATGGTGATGGAGAGATAAAGAAGAGAAGGAGGCAGACAGAATGCAATGGAGAGGCAGAGAACAGAGAGATAGAGAGAAGGCAATGGAGAGCAGACAGATGGAGAGGTGGTAATGGAGAGATAGAGATGAGAGAAGCGGACAGATGGCAGTGGAGAGATGGAGGACAGAGGGATAGAGAGATGGCGATGGAGAACAGAGAGATGGAGAACAGAGGAATGGAGAACAGAGAGAGATGGAGAGACAGAGAGATGGTGATGGAGAAATGGAGAATAGAGAGGTGGAGAGATGGAGAACAGAGAGATGGAGAGGCAGGGTGTTAGAAAGATGGCAGTGAAGAGCAGAGAGGTGGAAAGGTTTCAAGCAGAAAATTCTCTTGAAATTGGCAGGAAAAGAGTTAAAATGGTGAGCGGATTTCCTGTGTGGTCTGTAAACAGTGACAGGAATCTTTAATAGTTTTGGTTTTTAACCCTTCACCTGCAAAAACGGCAAGTTGGAGACCTGCTGATTGGCACAGTCTTAACTGCCCTGGGCCAACGGGGAAGTCTGAAGCAGGCTCCTCCAGTGGGAACGAGATCAATAATAAGAACACCCACCATCCCACCTATCACCCTCCTGTCCCCAATTCACCTTAATTCGCCATGATTGTCACTTGGTGTGCGTGTGTGTTGGAACATTTCACCGCGGTTTAGGGGGTCTCGATTTGGTATTCAATCTGCAGTTCATATTATTACACCATGCCAGGCCTAATCCTTCTCAACCCAATCCATTGGCGCCACACTAGGTACATAGTTCCTTGAAAGTGGAGTTGCAGGTAGACAGGGTGGTGAAGAAAGTGTTTGGTACACTTGCCTTTATTGGGTATAGGAGTTTGGAGGTCATGTTGTGGCTATACAGTACATTGGTTAGGCCACTTTTGGAGTACTGGGTGCAGTTCTGGTCTCCCCGCTATGGGAAGGATGTTGTGAAACTTGAAAGCGTTTAGAAAAGATTTACAAGGATGTTGGAGGGTTTGAGCTACAGTGAGAGGCTGGGGCTATTTTCCCTGGAGGGTCGGAGGCTGAGGGGGTGACCTTATAGAGGTTTATAAAACCATGAGGGGCATGGATAGGGTGAATAGTCAAGGTCTTTTTCCCCAGGATGGTGGGGTGGTCCAAATCTAGAGGGGCATAGGTTTAGGGTGAGAGGGCTAAAGATTTAACAGGGACCTGAGGGGCAACTTTTTCACACAGAGGGTGGTGCGTGTATGGAACGAGCTGCCAGAGGAAGTGGTGGAGGCTGGTACAATGACAACATTTAACAGGCATCTGGATGGGTACGTGAATAGGAAGAGTATAGCGTGATATGAGACAAATGCTGGCAAATGGGACTAGATTAATTTAGGATATCTGGTCGGCACAGACGAGTTGTTTCCGTGCTCTATGACTCTATAATTGTCTGAGTTGGATTTCTGTCGGGAGATTCCACATGGAAATGTGTGGCTATGGTTCAATATGGTTACTAGTCTCGTCAGGTGACAAATTTTTTGTTGAACGTATTTCTTCATTTCCCAGGCAGGTTGATTGGGTGATTGTAGAGTTATTGATACTTCGGAAAGTTCCCTCAGAGCAATTAAGTCATCTTTTTCTAATTTGATAGATGTCGGATGAGAATTTTAGATATGGAACCATAGGACAAATGTTCAATTTAAGGATGCAGATTAATTCTCCTTTGATGATGATAGTGAAGGGATTTTCGGCAGATTCTGGCCTTGGACTTTAATATGGTCAAACGCAAGGTACTGCATTTTGGTGAAATGCAGTGCTTAAAAGTAGGGCTTTGGGGAGTGTTGTAGAACAGAGAGACCTAGGAGTTCATAATTCTTTGAAGTTTGTGTCACATGTAGACAGGGTGGTTAAGAAGGTGTTTAGCACACTTGCCTTCATTGCTCAGGCCTTTGAGTATAGGAGTTGGGGACGTCATATTGAGGTTGTACAGGACGTTGGTGAGGCCTCTTCTGGAGCACTGTGTCCAGTTCTGGTCGCCCTGTTATAGGAAGGTTATTATTAAACTGGAGAGGGTTCAGAAAAGATTTACCAAAATGTTACCAGGAGTGGAGGGACTCTCTATCACCGGTGCGTTCTTGAGGGACATATATATTGTGAATGGCAACGGTCTTTTCTCTGTGGTGAGGTTTCCAAAACTAGGGGGGATATTTTTAAGATGAGAGGAGTAAGTTCTAGAAAGGACATGAGGGGCAACTTTTTTACACAGAGAGTGGTTCGTGTGTGGAATGAACTTCCAGAGGAAGTGGTGGATGTGGGTACAGTTACAATGTTTAAAAGACATTCGGATAAGTACACGGATAGGAAAGGTTTGTGGGGATATGGGCCAGGAGCAGGCAGGTGGGACTAGTTTAGTTTGGGATTATGGTTGGCTATGGAAAGGTTGGACCGAAGGGTCTGTTTCTGTGCTGTATGACTCTCTAACTCAGTAGAAAAACTCAGTCAGCCAAATATGTAGTATAGTGAGCTAAACCCCTCTTGCCTTCTGACAATGAGATCTCCACAGTCTGTTTTGGGTGGGAGGCCTAATCTATAAGCTGAAAACATAAAGGCCTCAGTGTAACATTTAAATGCCTCCCCACACTTTTCATCTCCTGTTCAGGTAATTTAATTCCAGCTTCAGTTCCCTTTGACCTCTGCAAGGATCCATGTACAATCCTTGTTTGTGGGAGTCATGATTCATCCAAAGCTTTTCGGAGCTTCACTGTGACTGAGCGTCGGTGGTGGGGGGGAGTGGGATGTTTGTGGATGTGGGGCCAATCGAACAGGGGGCTGCTTTGTCCCTGGATGGTGTTGAGCTTCTCGAGTGTTGTTGGAGCTGCCCCCATCCGGGGCAAGTGGGGACTATTCCATCACATTCCTGACTTGTGCCTTGTCGATGGTGGGACAGGCTTTGGGGGGGTGTCAGGAGGGGAGTTACTCGCTGCAGGATTCCCAGCCTCTGACCTGCTCCTGTAGCCGCTGTGTTTATGTGGGGCTGGTCCTGTTCAGTTTGTGGTCAGTGCTAACCCCCAGAATGTTGATAGTGAGGGGGGGATTCAGTGATGGGAACACCATCGAACGTCAAGGGGGCGATGGTTAGATTCTCTCTCTTGTTGGGGGATGGTCATCGTCCGGCACTTAGTGGCACGAATGGTCTTGGCAAATGGTCAGTCCCGAGCCCGGTCATTGCCCAAGGCTTTGCCGCTCCTGGACACGGGCCAACTCTGGTATCTGGGGAGTCTGCAAAAGCTTGGAAGAGGGTGAGGCCTAAGTGCAGAAGTAAAGCCATTCAGCACATTGAGTGGGCCCTGGCCAAGTCTGCGTCCAGCCCGCTCTCGCCCACTTCACTCTAAAAACTGTTACCTTTTCTCTTCCTCCCCTCCCTTTCCCCTTTACCAGGCGACCTACACACCCATCCACCGGGACGGTTACTGTGCCTTCTATGAGGACTGCGGCAAGAACCCTGAGGTAACGGGCAGCCTGCTTCCAGCCCGGGTGCCGTGCCTGTACAACGGGCCGGCCAAGCGGGTGACCAGCAGCATGCACCTGCAGCTGCTGCAGCAGGTGTGCCCGATGCTGGCGGGTTTGGGTGGCGAGACCCGGGCCTGCTGCTCACACCGGCAGCTGAAGATGCTCGAGAAGAGCCTGGTGATGTCCAAGCCGCTCCTGAGTAGGTGCCCCTCGTGCGTGGACAACTTTGTCAACCTGTACTGCCAGAACACGTGCAGCCCAAACCAGAGCGTGCACATCAACGTGACCCGGGCCTTCCGCGCCAACATCTCCGGCTCACTTGTCGATGCCGTGCTCGAGTACCAGTGCTACTACAGCAGCCGCTTCGCCAAGGGCAGCTACAACTCTTGCCGCAACGTCCGCATCCCCTCCACCGGCGGCTACGCCATCTCCCCCATGTGCGGCAAGTATGGCGCCACGCTCTGCAACGCCGAGCGCTGGCTCCGTTTCCAGGGAGACAGCTCCAATGGCCTAGCGCCGCTCGACATCCAATTCGTCCTGGTGCCGCCGACCGACAACGGCTCGGCCCCTGGCCCGGGCCCGGGAGGGGGCATCGTGCCTTACGACGGCGTCTTCCATCGGTGCGACCAGCCCTCAGGGCCTGAGGGGCAGGCCTGCTCTTGCCTGGACTGCGTGGAGTCCTGCCCGGCGCTACCCACACCCCCGGCGCCTCCGGGGCCTTGGACGATAGGCCGGATGGACGGGCCCCTGGCGCTGGGCCTGATTCTTTTCGTCGGGGCTGTCCTCCTCTTCGCCTGCCTCCTCTTTCTTTGCAGGCAGTGCCCAGACGACCACGAGAAGAACAAGGCCCCGAAGGTTACCTGCACCAGGCCGTCCACGCAGCAGAGGCTGAGTTGGGTTTTCCAGAGCTGGGGAACGGCGGTGGCTCGGCACCCGGTGCCCGTCCTGCTGGCGTCCTGCGTCGCCGTGGCCGTGCTCTCCTGCGGCCTGGTCTTTGTCAAACTGACCACCGACCCCGTGGAGCTGTGGTCAGCCCCCGAAAGCCAGGCCCGCAGTGAGAAGGCCTTCCACGACGCCCAGTTTGGGCCCTTCTTCCGCACCAACCAGATCATCGTGACGGTGGGGCCGGACGGTCACCCGGGATACACCTACAACTCAGTGTTCTTCGGGCCTACGGCCTTCAGTGGCCTCTTCTCCAAGGAACTGTTACTGCAGCTGCTGGACCTCCAGACGCGGCTTCAGTCCATCAGTGTCTGGTCGGAGACAGCGCGCAGGAACATCACGCTGAAGGACATCTGCTACGCCCCGCTCAACCCTGACAGCCCTCGGCCTACCGACTGCGCTGTCAACAGCCTGCTCCAGTACTTCCAGAACAACAGGAGCCTCATCGATGCTGTCGCCAACCAGACCATGGCAGGGGTGACGGGCACTGTGGACTGGAGGGATCACTTCCTCTACTGCATCAAGTAGGTGCCCTGTTCCTCCCTCCCTTTGCTCTCCACCCCTTTCTTTCTTCATTCTCCAACCCCTTCTCTCTTTGTTCTCCACCCCTTTCTCTCTTCACTCTCCAACCCCTTCTCTCTCTCTCTTCGTTCTCCACCCCCTTCTCTCTTCATTCTCCACCCCTTCTCTCTTTGTTCTCCACTCACTTCTCTGTTCGTTCTCCACCCCTTTCTCTCTTTGTTCTCCACCCCTTTCTCTCTTCATTCTCCACCCCTTCTCTCTTTGTTCTCCACTCACTTCTCTGTTCGTTCTCCACCCCTTTCTCTCTTTGTTCTCCACCCCTTTCTCTCTTCGTTCTCCACCCCCTCCTCTCTTCGTTCTCCACCCCCTCTTCTCTTCGTTCTCCAACCCCTTCTCTCTTCGTTCTCCAACCCCTTCTCTCTTTGTTCTCCAACCCCTTCTCTCTTCGCTCACCACCCCCTTCTCTCTTTCTCTTCGTTCTCCACCCCTTTCTCTCTTCGTTCTCCACCCCTTTCTCTCTTCGTTCTCCACCCCTTCTCTCTTCGTTCTCCATCCCTTTCTCTCTTCGTTCTCCACCCCCTTCTCTCTCTCTCTTTGTTCTCCACCCCCTTCTC